GGAATGAACTTCAATCATTATACAGGTGTAGGGGATCGAACCAGCGTTTTCGACGTGACGAGCGAACGCTCGAATTTTGTAAGTTTGTTGTTTGACGCCACACTCAGCGATATTCCAGCTGTATGACGGTGACCTATGATTAATCGAATCCTGGACCAGACAGTCCTGTGATAGATATCATGAGCAATTTTGATACGATGACTGCTCGGTACTCGTTCTGTTCTATTCCCGGGTCCATTTGGACCCCTATCACGTTCAACAGGCTGTTACCAATATACAAACGGCCACAACAGACCAAATACACTTACAATGAACTACTCAAACAATGTACTACAATGTCTAGTTCACTTTGATATAGCCCATAGTTGAAAGTAAGTCAGGCTTAGAACTTTTTGACAAGCCCTCATATTTACACCAATAATCTCAGACCACCCCAGAATTTTAAATGGTCGGTCCTTTATAGCATAGTGCATATTCTAAAATAATTACACTCATGTTAGCACTTGTCCTTTCTACCCGATGAATATGTGAATGAAGTTTACGAAGCTAGACATGTTGAGGTTAGACGCCTACTGTTTTATCACACACGTTCTTCCTGTTTGACACAATCACGTTATTGTGTTCATTCACAAAAGTTGACAACAACAAAATTCCGATGTTGTGAACAAGAATGATCACCTGCAGAAAGACTGATCTGATTGGCCGAAAGAACGACCAAGACAACCAATCAACGATGAACATTCTAAATAGGAATCTTCTCGTTGATATACTACGCCGTAACACGAATATGTTTACTGGTATTCCAGGATACGTTGAACCAACTCACCAAAAGGGTTTAAGACAAGTTGGCAGTGCACAGAATTTGGGCAAACCTATTTTGTTTGTTACAGGTAAAGAGAGTGTGCTCATGTTGTGCACGTGCAGGGCACGACGATGAAATTGTCTGCGCTCCCGCGGACACGCGTGTTGCTCATGAGACTGTTAAGAGGTCGCCTTGACCAGAATTCTGTAAAAGTCGTTTGATAAAATTTTATTACAAACACATAAACATGTGAAAGCTAGGTCACCATGGCCAAATCATGCATTCTCAGGCTCAAGAATGCCTGAATTGTCTTAAATTACATGGAGAAAGAATCTACAAATATTTCTTTACTCTGTTCGGTAAGAAGATATTCAATTTTTACAGCAAATGAATTCCCTTTCAGTTGACGAGACCTCTCAGTTGTTGTTATCAATGCAAATTTGCTATCACCATTTCTCACAGTCATCGGGTGCATAATATCAGCATGTACTATTATGAGTTATTGAACTTGCCACTGGGACTTGTCAGCCATATGGACCCCATGCCATGGATACCCCACTCAGAAATGTATACTGACCTCCAGCCGACCAGGCCTTGTTTTATCCCCTAAATGCCGATCGCCAGGAAGACAGGGTGACATCAATTACCATCTTTTAACGTCTTTTGGTAATACGCGGCCTTGGATCAAACCCCCAACTCCCCTCCTTCCATGGAAGCGGTCTGTGTGCCGATAATTTAAAAGTCATTATAAAAATGTTTCGAACAGGTTCTGAAGTAATTTCACAGATAACTACAGAATTATTTTGATTGTCAAATTAGGCATATAGAGGCGATAGCTTTAGTGTGTGACATTCGTTACAGGATTGGGCGTACGAGAATATTCAATTACATAATTCTGGCATGCAGTCAAATATTCCATTTCTTCTAGGGTGTGCAAAACCCCGATAACAAAACTACTATTTGATCCAAAACAATAGATCTGTATTGTTAGGGAATTCCCATTGATTCTCTGTCTTAGTCCGTCAGTCTTTACCTCATTTCTAAAATACAGTCTCGCGCATATCGTTAAACGGTATGAAGCCAGAATGTGTCGTTCGACTTCAATTTTTTGGTAAAAATATATCTGCATATAGTGTAACCTTCTTATTTGAAAAATATTATGAGGAAACACGGGCTGTGTTGTTTGTTTCTTTGCTTGTTTGTTGGTCAACGCCACACTCAGCAATATTCCAGCTGTATCACGCGGCCACCAAATGATCAAAGCTGGACCGGACAATCGAATGATTCTTAATCTGGGTAACGATCCACGCCCTGGGGGTACGCAATCAATGAAGTCACCGATTCGACCCCCCGATCTCATTAAAACCAGATCTTAGTTCTCGCTACCGCTAAACAAATATCTGAGGACATTCCATTACGGGTCACGTCAGACCGACCTTGCGCGAACTTTGACCGACCAATGGAATGACCAATCAGAAGGCAGCTTTCTCGTGCTTTACGGCACAAATTTCAAATTGGAGACTACGCTTCGAAACATATTTTGACAAATTCTCGATTACAAATTTGAAACCTGAACAAAAAAACATTCTGGAATGGTCTAGATTGTAAGGATTCAGTCGTTAAACCCGTAACTATCGTTCGGAATACCCGATGTTAAAATTTTCGAGATAGCATGATTAGAAATCAAATTCCGACTGTCACTTTCATAATTTGGTAAGCGACGCATGATTGATCGGATGAAAGGTCGTTCTGACGTGACCCCTAATGGGGTGTCTTCAGATCTTTTTTTAGCGGTAGCGAGAACTAAAAAAGAAAGAAAGTACTCCCGGAAATTAAAATAAAATGTTTTTCTCAATTTAAAACTCGACACAAAGTGTTACGTCGCTGTAAATACGAAATAACAAAACAACTCGAAAAGAACTAGTCTGGATTTGCTAGTTTGATCTCAGTGAACAATACAAAATGTACTTTACAGGAGGTAATTTGTCGTCACTTTCAACATTCAAAAATAAAACTGTCCAAATTGACATAGCAGAAACAGACTATAGGCATTATGTACCAGTTCTCACCTGTCATCAAGGTGTCATAGCTCATGGACATTCACCTTGATCTACTTACACCTGGTTATGCCCTGTTTCACAATAGTCTGTTTTATTCACATTTTTACACACTTTTACTTGTAAAAAGGCATAAAAACCTTTGATACGCTGTATTTGTGCCAAGGCCCTATTAGTACTAATTGAGTTGTTGGAATATTTACATATTCTGTATATTAACTGCATTTATTTACGATCTGAGGTCGAAAAAACAGGGTTTTTTTCATTTCCGTGAGTACTTTAAGATCTGATTTTAATGCGTTTGCTCGTGCGACCAGCACATTTTGCTTGTGACCTGTTCGAGCGAGATATGGATATTTTATGAGTGCTTCGGTAAATTTCTTGCAAATGCGCAAAGGGGCGTTACTCTGGTTTGTGAAACGGTGCTGATCATTGTGCTTTGGGTGAGGCAGATATGCTTGGCGAGTGTATGAGAAGAAACATTGTGAAATTGGCCTAAGAAAATGTTATGCTGTCGAGCATTAATCCAGAAGCGCCAGGCCTTGGTCTTTCATTCACAACTTTTGAGATACAATCGAGCATCCTCATTCTACCAAGATTGTAAAGAGCATCACACGTCCCTCGCTCAGAAGTTGTTTGATCAAGATTACAACATTCAAGGCGTCAGTAAAGCTTTCAAAAAGTTTTATGGTAGACATGCGGAGGCCATTTCCAAAATTGACGAATCAGTGACAAAAATTATGTCCGATGCCATTCCCTATTTTGACTTCTACCATGTGTTCCCGTGCATTTTCAGGTGAGCAGCTGACTTGCCTTTGCATGTGTTTGTGACGTGTGCCACCGGTGGGGCAGGGAATGCTCAGCTTTTCGCGAACACCAGTCCTGGTACAATCACTATAAGATGGTGATTCATACACACATGGTCATGACATAGTCGGAATCGTACAATCGACTCTGCTTAATGCAAAGAATTTATATTGGATATGGACCGGTTTTTTGGTCGCTTTGTTGTAATACAACAGTATTACTTTATCTTGGATGGTATTATCACACACCTACACTTGATGATATGGTATTTTCATACATACATAATTATCAGATAAGATTGCTCTTTCAGTACAAACGTTTGAGTGTTTTTCTTTGAGTACTGACTCTTGCTGGTAATTATTAGAAAAAACGGAATTCATGAATTCGGTAAGGGCGGAAGGCAAAACTAGTCAACAAATGATGAATTCGAACGAACATTATATATTTTTTTCTTCGCTATGTGTTTGTGTTGAGAAAACATTCGCAATATTTGTTTTACTTGTAATGGTTTTTTTTAAGTCTATGAGACATAAGGGTGAATAGAAAGTACATGCATAACATTTTTGCATTTTTAAACAATTGTTCATATATATCACATTTGGTCCAGTAGATTTCAAAGTTCTCCATTTTTTGATAGTTGTTCGGTTTGAGTTTTATTAACACCCTGAAATGCAGGACATTTGTTGGAAAGTGTACCGCAAGAATGAGAGAAAGACCGTTTGCCGAGAAGGCTGTGTATACATTTCTATCTTTCATATGTTATATATGGTCTACAAGTTCGTAAAAATCTTGATATATTGTTGTTAGTTGAAATACATTATGTAAGTGAGGTAATCATATAGTATGTGTTGGTTGACTATTTTGGGCAATTATTTTATTGTAAATATAACTTGACCAACAGAAGCTTTGCAGTTTTCTACTAACATACTTTATTCTAAAATAAGTGTGCGCTTGCGAGTTTCTAATGCATCTAACGGAAAAGTAGACCGACGGTTAAACAAAGAACGGGGTGACGTCCAATATCATTAGGGTAGGATAGGACTGTCTACGATGCACACACAGTGAGATCAACGATGAGTGAGTGAGTGAGTTGGGTTCAACGCCGCTTTTAACAGTATTCCAGTCATATCACGGCGTTGATCAATGATGCAATGCAAGAGTTGTTGAGGGGGAACATACAGAGAGTATGTATCCATGTTGGCCTAACACATCCTGTTGACGCATGATGCGTTCTTGTATCATCACAAGGTGGTAGTCTTTAATTATGTATGTTGAGAACAAAGAGGAGTTCTCAGCTGACATCACGTTTCCATATCCACGTTGCAATGCACACTTTCCTCTTCTCATTCTGGGTGCTGGCGACAAGATGTCGGTTCAGGCACTCGCCGGTGTGATATTCTATGTTTGTATCACGAGACTGCAGAACACAGTTGGTGAGTCTTTTATGTTTTAGGTTTGTAAGACAAAATGTTTAGCTTTGATTATTTCTCAGTCAAGAGTATCAACTCATTGAGATTATTAAAACATTATTATTCAATATGTAACATAATGCCAACATTTGGAAGAGATACAGATACAATTGTCTAAACGTTGGGCAACATTGATTAATCTTGAGAGTGTCTTTGATCACAAAATCCAGTGCCGCCCTAAGAATATGAAACACATTTGAATTGACAATAGTTTGCTCAAACGCAATTAGTCCTCCAAAATACTTTTTGTCAGCTTCATGCGGTGCTTGTACCAGCGACATTTCACCCCACGCTACAAACCTGTGGTTAACACAATAGGATATAGCAACATGTGCTTAGCTTGTTTTGTTTGTTTGTTTGGGGTTTAACACCGCACTCAGCAATATTCCAGCTATATGACGGCGGTCTGTAAATAATCGAGTCTGGACCAGACAATCCAGTGATTGACAGCATGAACATCGATCCACGCAATTGGGATCGATGACATGCATCAACCAAGTCAGCGAGCCTGACCACCCGATCCCGTTAGTCGCCTTTTACGACAAGCATATTCGCCTTTTACAGCAAGCATGTGTTGCTGAAGACCTATTCTACCCCGGATCTTCACGGGTCACATGTGCTTAGTAGGTTTGATATATCAGTGATGGAGACGGTTTCACATTGGTAACTCGTTTCGGGGTTGGGATTGATGCAGCTGAAACAGATTTATGGGAACATCCTGGCCAACCAAATGTAGGTCAGAGGCCAAGACATGATGCAGGTTTATAGTATTTATTGAGGGCAAAATCACCACTCTACAGCAATTTGACTGGTTTAAGTATTGGCTAAAAAGCTACAACCACATACTTTTCATTCATTTAATAATCTACATGGTGTAATGACAGCCGAACAGGTTACTTTTTGATCGAAATAAAGCATGCATTTATGCTTGATACGATTCTCTAACATTGCCTATGTGGTGATATGTTGTCCTGTTATGCTTTGAGAAACTTGGAACATACAGATCTAGACATCGGCAGAATTAACACATCTCCGACAAAAGTTAACTGATTCGTGATTGTCACTAAGATAACCAATGACAGCTGTAAGGTATACCACAACTTAGAGAACGCTATTGTAGTTCATTAAAGGTGAGTATTTGTTACAACCTCCTTTGAAATACATCCCAGTCAACGTTGTATCAGATCAAATAACTGTAAGATCATCATTTTCTCAACATGAATGCGGTGATCTTAATTCGTATCCATATTCATAAGTGGTATTCGTCTCTGCTGTTTCTTTCAGGTGAAAGCATTTCTTTCGGCAAAAACGCCAAACAAAGTACCACTTTTAGAGACAATGATGCAAGCCACGCCCTCAATCGGACGTTCTCGTATACAGGATCAGTTACAGGCCCTGTCATCTCGCCCTGGTGGGAGGTCGACCTGAGGGGCTACTTTAGAATCAGCATCATCACCCTCACAGCAGGCGAATTTCGTACGTTCAAACAAACAAACAATATGTAAAAAAACGAGAAATCCTGAGTGCAGTATGAACATTTTTCAAGACCTCACTATTGGTGACCTAGTTGCTTGGATCGCGATGTCTTTATCCTTTCAATATCAGTATTGCCGGCCAGTAAATGAACTAAACATAGAATGCTTTCATTTTGCATACAGGACCTTACTTACATGGCATAAATATGTCTTATATCACGGAAGTGATATAATGTCTCTGTTTGAACATTGTGTCAACTTCATGTCACAGCAGTTTGCATGCAAGGAAGATGTAAGCCACATGCTCCTTAGCCTAACGTTATAGTCAACTAAAAGTGAATGCTGTGCTATTTATATGTTGCAGATCAAGACATGAGAAATGCCTCCGTGGAGGTGATGGACAAAGACGTCAGCCTCTCCTCTGATGTCCAGTCGGAGTGGTGTGGGAATGTGCCTAGCACTGTCACTGCTCGGGAAGAGTTCACCTTCACCTGCAATGCCACATTCCCTGTCCGCTATGTCCGTGTCACAAGGCGATCTACCACCAAGGCTTTCCTCGCTATCGGACATGTGGATGTTCAAGGGATCGGGGCTACAAAACGATGCCGTGAGTATGCTGCCAGTAGAGTGTTATTAACAGCAAAAAAAGCATTGGATGAGATGTCTAGATTGCGGAATGAAAGACTGTTCACCTGGACACACCCTGTAGAGAACATTCATGGTGATGGACTCAAGGTAGCTCACTTGAATGTTCGATCCCTCAGTGCTCATTTCGAAGATGTGAAGAAGGATAAGTTTGTTGGTGTGCTAGATGTTCTGTGTTTCACAGAAACACACATCAATTTGTTCACTCACTCATTGACATAAATTTTACAAGTTTTCACTCAGTTTTCTGTATGTAGGTATAGTGACCAGTTAGTTGAGCCCTTTTAGTTTGTGAAATATTCACCAATCACTTGTCATATTTTAGATGCCCCCCTTAATCTCCTTTTGTCTGACCAATCACCACTCTCGTGCGAACTTGTACCTATAACAAAAGATAACAAGAGATTTTCTTCTGGGGGCGAATATATTTTGTGACACCGGCCCGTTTAACCCTGGTCAGGGGCACATTTGTTTTTGTTTTGAGGGACGATGTCGCCTGTCGTTTTTTATCGTCTGTTTTACGTTATTTTGCTTATTTGCTACTTGAGTTTACTTGCCCTTTGATGATTCTGTTTTAGCGTTCAGAATTATACTAAACTGACGTCCAAAAGAAACTTTACAAACTGAAAATATAAATTTCAGACAAAGTATACATTTTTTTTATGAAGTCTATCTAAAACACATAATATAAATACAACAATAGTGTATGCAGAAAATGTTAATCGTCTGTTACATGTTTGCGAGATAACACGCGAAAAAGTGAAAAACACGTGCACAACGGACAACTGCAAATGCACGTGCGAGTAAGGGTATAAAACGATTGCAACGGCAAGTAAGACATCCACAGTGATAGTGAGTGAGTGAGTATGGTTTTACGCCGCTTTTAGCAATATTCCAGCAATATCACGGCGGGGGACACCAGAAATGGGCTTCACACATTGTACCCATGTCGGGAATCGAACCCGGGTCTTCGGCGTGACGAGCTAACGCTTTAACCACTAGGCTACCCGACCGCCCCTCCACAGTGATAAAAAAAAACACAAAAGAAATGTCACGACTCACAGTCAAACAACGTGAACGATCCTTGGGTATGGTACAGATGGGAACCACCCACGCCCATATTGCACGAACCATCGGTTGCTCCCGTGTTGCCGTTACCAACTTGATGCAACGTTACAGACAGACAGGGCGGACCGCTGACAGGCCAAGAACAGGCAGACCCAGGGTGACCACGCCCCATGATGACCGGTACTTGCGTACCTTGCACCTCCGAAATCGCTTCCTGACAGTGACGTTATCGGCGACAAATGCCTTAGGTCACAAGGTTAGTCGACAGACAGTGGCCAGGAGACTCAGGGCTCATGGAATCAGGGCTTTTAGACCATACAGAGGACAGCTATTGGCAGCGCAACATCGTCGTCTGCGATTGGGATGGGCCCGGACTGTACGACGTTGGCAACGACGTGACTGGCAGGGGGTTGTCTTCAATGACGAAAGTCGATTCTGTATGTTTAGGGCTGATGGAAGACAACGTGTTTACCGCCGATGGGGTGAAGGAACGGCGGCGTGTTGCGTGCAGGAGGTCGTACCATATGGTGGAGGGAGTGTCATGATGTGGGGAGGGATCTGTGGGCAGGAGAGGACACCGCTGGTCATCGTTGACGGAAACTTGACAGATCAGCGTTACATGGATACAATTCTTCGTCCAGTTGTCCTACCATTTCTCCAACAGCAGCCACGTGGTGTCATTTATCAGCATGACAACGCTAGAGCCCATACAGCCAGAATTTCACAAACTTCCTCGCAGCCAAAAACGTCAACGGCCTGCCGTGGCCTGCACTCTCACCCGACATGTCCTCCATAGAACACCTCTGGGACTTGATGGATCGTCGTGTTCGACAACGACCACACTCTCCAGCCAACCGGCAAGAACTGATCTTGGCCCTCCAAGAAGAATGGCGTCAAATCCCACGTGACCTCATCAGACGACTGACTTTTTCTGTGCGTCGAAGAGTTTTTGCGTGTATTGAGGCATTTTGTGGTCACTCACGCTACTAATGACTTGTGATTGAACGTGAGCGATTGTTTATATACTCAGCCTATTGTCCATGATTCTGAAAGCTCGAGTTTTGTACCACACCCAACTTTAAGGGGCTCTGACGTCATTCTCGGGCGCGGTATGATTGTCATTTTCAGTGTTGATTATGTTGATATATTGATCTTCTCAATACACTTTACTTCATGCATGTATGTTTTGTTGTTTTTGAGAAAGAATGATTTCAAACTCTGATAAAGTTTCTTTTGGACGCCAGTTTATATTCTTATCATTTGAAATACTTATTAGTCATTCACAGCACAAATTTATTGATTGGCAGGTGTTTGTTCATTGTTAAACACTGTACTCAGCAATGTTCCAGATAAACGACGGCAGCCTCTAAATACTCGAGCCATACTGCGAGCAACGATCCAAGTTTCTCTTCATCTAACAAACATTTTTTTTTAGAAAACAGAAAGGGGCTAACAAGCGCACTTTCCAGCTCTCACCTTCTACTTTCTAGGTTCCCACTACACGCCCACAGCCAACAGGAATGTGTCCATCCCATTCTTGACTACATCAGCCATAACAGCCGGAGCTTGTGGCATCCTTTGTCACAAAAGTTTTTCTTGCATCGGCTTCAGCTACAGCACAACTGCATCCTCTGAAGCTAACTGCATGCTAACCGACAAAGTAGTACCCCAGAATTATGTGGCAGATCACGCCTGGAGCATGTACACCCTGGACAGCTGCCTGTGAACACCACTGGAAACTCAAACTGGAAACATTGAAACTACACTCTGAATCGTAACAGAAGTAGACTAGGCATTTGATTTAAACAATATTTATTTCCCAGAAAAAGGAATGGGATTGATGAACAGGTTCAACCTATTTAAACACCTCTCCCTACAAAGGACATTTAACAATTAATGGGAGTAAACTGGTAGACAAGACATTTGTTGTGGAAACATTATTTATATATTATACAGAAAATTGTCAGTGGGATCATTCGGACTTTGTGAGAATTTTTCGTCAGATGAAATGATTGTAATCACGTTTTTGGAATCAGAATATTTGTAGTGGCATTGCTGGAACAGTAATGCATGGGATACTTCCTTTCATTCCTTTTAAGAGATTGTGACGATTCTAACACACTTGTTTTGTTAGATCACAGAAACTGCACAATCACTTTGCTCTCACCACAATAATAACACGAATGTTTTATGTCTGTTTATTACGTGTTCATCACACTTACTTTTAATACTTGCAATAGCTTCATACTCTGCCAGGATCAGAAACAAAAGTACTTGACTGTTGAACCATATCCCTTGGAATTTCCACATACCCTGCCATCTGGGCATGTTGCGTTCACTCCCATTATAAACCTATTCATTGGGATCTCTATTAAGTAAGAGAGTTCTTTCTACAGGCAGTAAAACCTATTGTGAGGTTTTACTTTCAAAGTAAAACCTATTATGATGTTTTATTTTCGTTCGGAAGGTTTTACTTTGAATGTAAAACCTCAAATTCCAGGTTTAACCAAGTAACTGAAAAAATGACAACAAGTAGCAATTCAAAATTTTAATTCAATTAAAATTGTATGTCAGGTGTACAGTTCCGCGTGGACATTTAAAAGCGACATCACTTCAGAGTCTCAGGTGAAAGGACAGCGAGGTTTCAAACACGTGCTTTTAAACAAGTGCTTGTCAATGCTGCACAATTTGCACGTGCAGTACCTGCTAGCCGTTACGTCACAACTACCTCTATGTAACAGTTGGATTGTTTAAAGTCGAAAATCTTGTAAAGCAAAAAAAAGACACCTTTAAAATTTTCGAATTTTCGTTTTGAAAAGTTTAAAAGAAGTGGAATATTGCAACACAAACATTTAGAAACCGAAGATTTCACTTTCATTTAAAAGTAAGTATTTTCTTTTGTGTTTTATATTTGTCACATCCAAGTGCTCTTGAACGCCTGGCAAGTCAGCGAATTTCACGTGCAAGTTAAGATATCACGTCTTCAAGGACGCGCTATAATGAAGCGCCTCATTTATAGATGCTCGTTATAACATTTAATCAATTTAAGACGGTTTATAAGTATAAAAAACACTTTCCCTCGGTTTTGGTAGACAGAGCATGCCCTGGGGGTCGGGAAAAACCGCGGGGGGTTCGCCCCGTTGGTTTTTCCCTCTCCCCAGGGCATATAATTTTCACCACTATTTTGGATTTTTCACCCAATGGAATCTGTTTCGGCAGATAATCGCGACTGACTCTTCTCTGGTTTTGACGTTTGTTATGTGTAGTATGTGAAGTCTATGCTTAATGCTGGAATTGCCTAACTTTCTGTGTTGTTTGTGAGTAGAAATAGAATTTTAGCCATGTGAGAAATGTGTTTGGTGTTGGTAGTAATATAGAAGGTGGTATAGAGTACTGTAGAAATAACCAATGCTTACTGTTGTCTGATGTTTGCGTTCTATGGAAAGTTTGGTTTTCGTATTTGATGGTTTCCGGCTAGTTTCTATTTATTAGTTTACTGGTGGTTATCATGACGTGGGAATCTTACTCATGTCCGAGTTGTCTTAGTTTGCTTGCCATTTAGTTTCCCGAAACACGAATGTTACCCTCTGTCAGAATAGTTTACGTCTGGTTGACATTAGGTGTTGGTTTCAGTATACCCGGAAACTTACACACGTCAAGTTTCCTACTGATTTCCTGGTCGTTTCCATAAATCTTGTAGATATTTTCAGCTTACTTTGTGTGTGCTTCATTAGCTCTCCTGTTGGAGAACAAATGTTAAGTTTACGCCTGGTTAAGTTTTGTTTCCGATGAGAACCTGATATTCACAATTTGTGGCCTGGTCACGTTGTAACACTCGAGCATACTGCGGTCACCATTGATTTGTCCGCAACACCTTCATCATCAACACGGTTTTTTTATGATATACCTACATCATTGCTAACTGATATCTCCAAACAAAATCACTCATTCACTCTGTTGAGTTTTAGGTTAAAAACATTTATATTTTCACAATTTCGTAGATTCTTAGACACATACTAGATGCTCAAATGTGATGTTGTCCTTCCAAGTAAACAAATAGTTTTTGTGTAGAATTAGTTTTTTCCATAATTACATGCACATATATGTTACCAGATTCTTATATCAACTCTTAGGGTCTTTTTATTGTGTACATGTAAACGTCTAAAATCTGCATCACTGCTGGCGTTCCTCCCACATGAAGTTGACACACAGTGCTATACCTGAAATACTCTTCACAGAAACGAAACTGAAATTTGAACAACAAAAGAAACTGAGGTTTACGCAAAATCACTCATCTTAGTCAAACATGCAGGCAAAGACAACTCTCAGTCCATGTAGGAATGTCTCAGACAATAGAAACTTAAAGCAAAACACATAAAACATTAATTTTCATTGAAATATCTCTTTACTCTTTGGAAACTTAAATACATCAATATTCATGCAATTGTTTCATTTCATAAACAAATTCTCTTTAGTGTGATACGTGCCCCCTCAGCGATACTGCAGATGCAGGTGTGTCAGAAAAAGTCTGAAAAACATTATTTTAGGAAAGGGAACTTTGTTTGGAGCTTTTTTGAGAAATACATTTAAATAAAGTGTTTGCAGCCAAAATGTTTTCTGTTTTAATTTTGTATGCTGTTTGACTCACCACTCAATAATATACTAGTTATATGACGGCTGTCTTTAAATAATCGAGTCTGGACCAGATACCCAGTGGTTGACATCATGAGCATCGATCTACGCAATTGGGATACGGTGATAGTTCATATGACATTTCTTATTCCCTTTATGCCGAGTAAAGTCCAGTCTTTGGTGTCTTTACTTCACGTTTGAGAATTTATTCGCCCATGTTCTTTCACCAAGGATTTCAAATAGCACCTTAGGATTATTGCATATCGCATTTCAAAAGGTGTTTAGTTAAACATATGGAGGACATTTGCAAATGTGAAGTATCACTGACGGAAGAGATGTCTGATGCGATTCCCTATTTTGACTTGTACCACATGTTTTTATGTTAAGTAGGGAAAGGATTTATGTATGAACAACTTCTATATAACAAATAGGAGCACGTTTCTTTGTTGGAAAGTGCTTCTCCGCTTTTTATTTATGTTTATAGTTCCGGGAACGGAGTCTTTCGGTGCAACAAGTCAATTAGCTCTTACGTATCACTTACTGGACCTTTACTGGTATTCCATCATAATTGTAGAGAAATGGTTGTGTGAAAATGTTAAGAATCGTAAAGGGGTATAATTTATTTATGTCTTCACTTTACGAGACATATCCATACCAGTAGCCTTTTGTTTCTACCATGAATAATAACTTATGGCACCGATCAACCCTTCAAGTTATATATTTTATTATGCTCTATAACAATGCTTTGGCCATTGTGCTTGGTTTTAATGCAGGGATCGCTGGTTAACCGTACGAGTCAAATGATCCAGGTCCGTGGGAATATTTGGAATGAAGCGAATTCGATTACTGAGCCATGGACGTCTGTGAGAATGACTGCAGGCAGATTTATGACAGTATAAATTAACAAGAATGCATCTTTAAACTAAACTACCGTGGCGCATAGATGTCATTAGTTATGGTCTGCCAACGCCTCTTTTAACAGTATTCCAGATATATCACGGCGTGTCAGCTTCATGTGGGAGGAAAGCCCGAAGTGATGCAGGTCTCAGACGTTTACCATTTCGGTGAAACCCATGAGCACGGGTATGGTGCTAACAAACCTAGAAACATAATCGGGGCGAACCGGGATTCGAACCCACAATCATAGGTTTCCTGCGTGCCCAAGGGACGCAACTCTGCACAGTGAATCGCGGCGTCTTGGACGACTGGGCCACCCGTGCCCCCGCGTGTATTGTAATGGCGGTTGAATGAAACCATGTGCTGACATTTGCCGGTGTCGCCAGTTCGACTCACAATCTGACATAACATCAAGATGAAACAAAGAATTCCAAGCTGTTGTCGTGACTCCAACCAAGCATCCATCCATTTCAGAGACGTTTGTGTTTTTTCCTGTACGTCATCTGCACAAAGGCGGCAAAACATCCGGCCGTCGCACTAATGGGTTCGTTGACAACTTTCCAGAAAAATTGATCATAACTTACGGCAAGCACGGGGTGCTGAAGACCTACTTTACCGAGTGATGGCGATACTGAATGCGGCAGGTCTTCTATCCACGTCAGGTCTCCTGTCCAATTGCAAGCCAGTATTACATTTGACAGACACATAGTTCACATGCGCTATAGATGCTAAGGCCGCCTCCGTGATCTGGTGGTAGAGCGCCCCCCCCACCGGAGAGCGGAAGGTCCGGGGTGCGTACCACAAAAAAGATCATCAGCCAACTTAGCAACACACCCTTCTTGTATGAGATTGCCAAGAACTCTACACATGAGTTCTTCAAGGTAGGTTTCTGAACCAGGTATCCGCATGGCACATCGGGTGTAAACTCAGATCCCTTTGTTAGGTGTCACCACCCCACAATACTTCATAGAATCCTGGAATAACGGACTTTGGTAGAAGGATTTTAATAAATCAGTTTTGATTATCCCTCAGTACATTGTCTACATTTTGCTTCAGAGACGGTTGAGGCTTGCTAATTCACCTACTTCTCCAAATGATGTCACCAAACGATAACCTCCAGCCGGTTTGCGAACAAGGAATGAGGAGTTCAGATATTCAACAGTAACATTTACTTGTTCTATGGTAGCAAATACGCCCATTTCCTCGAGTTCATCAAACTTGGCTTCGGTAAGCGTCTCCTTATTGTACTGGGGTAAGCGGCCTTGTTTCTCTGAGGGGCTGATGTAGGACCCATGTTGACAACATCCACTTCCCAATTTACGCGACCCCGTGCAAATGACCGACGTGCGTTCCGGAAGTTTCAGCTCGTAGATTTTACACTTATGTTGAACGTCTGAGGGTAACTGGATTCCTATTACGGTTTCTGTGTGCTGATATCGATATTAGCGTGGATTCAAAGCGGTGCCCCCACGCCAATGTAGACCAATCCAGTCCCTTTTGACACAAGTTTAATGCACAACAAACTACAATGCCCAAACCGGAAGGAAGGGATTTTATAAAAAATAATGGTTATGCATTGGATATGATTCTTTTGATGTGCCGCTTTATGTTAGTAAAATGGAACCGACCGTCTCGAACATTACCGCATTTTGAAGTATCCACAAACCCCACCATCTTTTTCTGTTTGAGAAAAGCTGCAAAAGGTTAATCTGTGCGTGATGTAGACTTGATGATCAACGCAGACCATGATGTTGTTGAGCTGGATGTGGTTGCTGATACTGTAACAAACAGCTGAACCATTATAAGAATCAACGTTACAGACTCGCCAGCAGTCACACACGCAGAGCATCAGACAAAGAGCTGAGAGAACACACACAACTTTGGGAGAAACTATTGGCCATACATTCCAATTTCTGAGATCACAACTTTATCAAAGAGTCACCTCTTACGTCAAGCATAGTCGCCACTTAACAACAACAATGCGTTGCCTATCCGTTGGGTTCCGCCTTCACGGGTTCCAAGTATGAAACTGGACTTTGACAAAGGGTCTGGGCGTGCATAGCAAGCTCTTCGCTTAAATTTCAATAATATGGTGAGGGGTTGAAAACAGCAGATGAACTGACCACCGAGAACATACCACGTCCTTTGGCCCAATAGAACAAATGCTATAGAAACAAACCGAGTTTTTTAACAACACCCAGTTGTATGACATGTACATTTGGGCCAATTTTCCAGAGACAAGGGCGTTAACTGACTATACAAGTCTAGTTTCCACAACTAGGATGGAATTCCGGAGTTACATTTTTGATGGACTAAGGAGTCTATGCATATTTCCAATCAAAATCGCGTAACGAACTAGACATCTGGGATTACAACGTGCAGATTTCGGTCGAATACAGGATTTGCAAAGGATGTGTACCGCCAACTGGACGTCGACATGTACTCTTCAAAAACGCAAAACGGATATTTCTGGCCATAAAAGCAAACATAGCGGACCAAACAATGTTAAACGAAGAGGTTTAATGCGTTATTTCAGTTACAAACTTTCCCGGATCAAAATGATCACAACAAGGACATGCAAACCATGAGTCGGGAAACTCGTACGATTCGGAAAAAAACGCACCCAGTGCATCAACAAAAGGGCCATGGAGTTGCACGCACTTCACGTGCAGCAGCACTATGAACGGTATTAAAGTACAGGGTGTTTGATTGCCTGGCATCTGCGTCATTGAAACAGTGACAGTTGAAAAACATGCCGAGATTAACAGAAGTGCAAAGAAACAACATCATGGGCCACTTGCAGGCTGATCAGCTGAAGCCATTGTTTTCAATGTAGCGCCCAGCACCATCACAAGGCTATGGGATCGGTTTCAACAGCATTGGTCAACACGTGATCGGCCAAGGTCGGAACGACCAAGATTAACTACATGTACATCCAAGATCGCTACATCCGACTGTGCCACCTACGTGAAAGGACGACCACAGCCACATCAACCGCATCCCAAATATCCTGACTGTGCAGAATCTCCGACCAGACTGTACAAACCCGTTTAAGAGCAGCAAGGCGTCCTGTTCGACGCGTCATATTCAGGTGACAACATCGTCAACAACTAGTGCATTGGTGTCGTCAACACAGGGTATGGCCTTACCTGTGATGGAGAGATGTCTGGTACAGCGACGAATCAACATTTCTACTCCGTCGAGGGGAAGGAAGAGCACGGTTCTCCGGACCTTAGGGAGAACGTTACGCCGGAAACTGCGTACAGGAAGTGGACAGGTTTGGTGGGGGTGACGTTATGGTGTGGGTGGCTATCTTTCATCATGGCAGGACAGGTTTGGTCCATATCCAGGGCAATCTTACCGCACAACGATATATTCTCCTACCACACGTCCTCCCAATTGCAGCCAATGGCAACGGTGTATTCCAGCAGGACAACGCTCGACCGCATACAGCACGGATCACAAGAGACTGTCTACACAACAACAACGTTGATGTTCTCCCCTGGCCCTCCAGATCCCCGGATTGAAACCCGATAGAGCACCCGTGGGATAAATTGGATAGGCGGCTACGCCGACGTTAACCACAACCCGAGACGTTGCAGCAGTTGGCTATTGCGTTGCAGGCCGAGTGGGCTACCATTCCCCAGGATGTGATTCGCATACTCGTCTCTTCAATGGGCAAGAGATGTCAGGCCGCTATCGATTCCAACGGGAGACATACGCGTTATTGATGGTAGCTGACCTCCACCTTGGACTTTTTCTGTGTATCGAGTGTTCTCTTCACAACATTTTGGCTCAAAACCTTGTGCAGTTCCTCCTATAAATGTATTACCCAACCTCACACAAATCTGGCTTTGCGTTTCTTTTTTTCAAGAGTATATATTGTGTAAATCATTCCGATTTTTTTTAAACAAGGCACTCACGTGATTTGATGCACTGTGCGGGTTATAACGCGTTTTTTTACAATATTGATCAGTCCAAAAGACAAGTGGCCACCTCCGAGGTTTGGAGTTATAGAGCGTCTGCTCGGGGCAATATCATCACTGAACACGAGATTAAACCATTTTATTCACTCTGCACAGTAATTATCTTCACAAGTCATGATGTGAAGGTAACAAACAGAATTACATAGGAATTGAAATCAATCATCACAGATGTATCACATAAAGATCATAAAATTGATAAATCTAATTTATTTAGGATTTCATCACATGTCTTGAGTGGAAAGCTAATATTGCAGTAATAGTTGCATGGGAATGAGGGGTGATGTGAGATAAGGTGAAATGGGGATTAACGTCGCGTTGTTGTACTTCTGTCGTGACGTCTATGGACGTGTGCTTTTGAAGCTGCTTATACTAATGCCGATTTTATAGTGCTAGCTCACTGAGATACCATGCCGCAGTTTAAGCATTGCCTAAAAGTCGGGCCGGGCCGGGCCAAGACGGGCCAAAGTGTTATTGGCTAATTACTTCATTACCGGCGACCATACCTATATATTATTGATGCAACACACACACATGACATAATTAACAATCACCAACCAAAAACGTGGACCATAAATTAAATAATTCGGGGTAAATCACTTGAAAACCAGAAAGTGGAGCTGTGTGTTCGCGACGCTGATCTAGGTAACATGTAAAGGAGCAATCGTTAAACGAAATAAGATTTTACACATATCAAATACTTCTAGCTATCGTGATACAAATTTCCATCTGTCGGCATAGCGTTTATAGGATAGTACTATATATAAGTAAATACCACTTTATAATGTCACTGTTCATCGTATTTAAAGCAGACACGTTGGTTAAAGTAGACCTCTTCTCCTTATACTCTGAACAGTCACACAAGTGTTGGGTTCGACTTGGCCCGGGCTGTCAAAATCTATTTTAAACACACAGATCTATCATCAAATATGTTTACATCTATAGACTGGAGTTATATCTACCTATATATACCACTATATAATGTCACAGTATATCGCAATTTTACCGTATTTTCTTAAGACAATCTCTAGAAGTGTTCGGTCCGACTTGGCCCGGGCGGTCAAAATGTACTTTAAACACATAGATGTATCTTCAAATTTGTTTACATGTATAGCTTAGTGTTATATCTACCTATACACCACTTAAAAATGTCACAGATCGCAGTATTTATAGAAAACAAGGGGCTCAAAGTAAAGCCCTTTTCCCTCTACATTCTCAACATAGTCTCTATCAGAAGTGTTTGGCTTGTGTTGTGTCCGACTTGGCCCGGGCTGTCGAAATCACCCTTAAACACACAGTTCTATCTTCAAATGTGTTTACATCTATAGACTAGTGTTATATCTACTTATAAACCAATTTATAATGTCACAGTAGATCGCATGTAAAGAAAACTGGTCCGTTAAAGTCAAGCATTTTTAGTGTATTTTCTTAAGAAAATCTATGTCAGAAGTGTTCGGTCCGACTTGGCCTGGGCGGTCCAAATCAACTTAAACCTCACAAATGTATCATCAAATGGATTCACATCTATGGATTAGTATTATATCTACCTATATACCACTTTAAGGTGTCTCAGATCGCTGTACTTAAAGAAAACAAGGGGCTCAAAGTGAAGCCCTTTTCCCTCTACATTCTCAACAAAGTCTTTATCAGAAGTTTTTGGCTTGTGTTGGGACCGAGTTGGCGAGGGCGGTCCAAATCTGCTTCAAACACACAGATGTCCCATCAAATGGATTCACATCTATAGACTAGTATTATATCTACCTATATACCACTTTATAATGTCACAGATCGCAACACGATGGAATAGGCAAAGGCAAGGGATTTTCCGACCAAACACATACCATGAAAGGGCTTCACTTTAACGAGTATACTTCACTCAAACACATTGGTGATACATCTGTGAGGTTTAAGATGAAGTTGACAGCCCGGGCTAAGTTGGTACAAGGACATGTGACAGAAATTTTTTTGATAAATACAGTGATAGTGCTCGACGGACCAGTTTTCCTTGAGTTAAACTGCGACATTATCAAGTATTATATAGGCAGATATAATACTAGTCATGTTGAGAATGTAGAGGGGAGAGGGCATCACTTTGAGCCCCTTGTTTTCTTTAAATACGATGTACCGTGACATTATAAAATGTTATATATGTGATTTTGTTTTCTATTAATACAGCGATCTGAGACACCTTAAAGTGGTATATAGGTAGATATAATACTAATCCATAGATGTGAATCCGTTGGAAGTTACATCTGTGTGCTTAAAGTTGATTTTGACCGCCCGGGCCAAGTCGGACCCTACACAAGCCAAACACTTCTGATAGAGACTATGTTGAGAATGTAGAGGGAAAAGGGCTTCACTTTGAGCCCCTTGTTTTCTATAAATACTGCGATCTGTGACATTATTAAGCGGTGTATAGGTAGATATAACACTAAGCTATACATGTAAACAAATTTGGAGATACATCTATGTGTTTAAAGTAGATTTTGACCGCCCGGGCCAAGTCGGACCGAACACTTCTGACAGAGATTTTCTTCAGAAAATACGGTAAAAGTGCTTGACTTTAACGGACCAGTTTTCTTTAAATGCGATATACTGTGACATTTTATAGTGGTATATAGGTAGATATAACTCTAGTCTATAGATGTAAACACATTTGAAGATAGATATGTGTGTTTAAAATAGATTTTGACAGCCCGGGCTAAGTCGAACCCAACACATGCCAAACAAAACTTCTAATAGAGAGAATGAAGAGGGAAAAGGGCTTCACTTTGAGCACCGTGTTTGCTACCGCAATATGAGACACTAAAGGGTTATATAGGTAGATATAATACTAGTCTATAGATGTAAAGTATGTGTTGTAATTGTAGAAGAGCTTTGACAGTTATCAACACGTATCGTATCAGCCCTATGACATTCGCGAATATCCACTTGCAGAAAACATCCTGTGTTGGTTTAACATGAATTACTAAAGATTAATTAGGGATTAATGAAAAGAGAGTAGTCACAACTCTGTCATTTCTTGCACAGGACATCACACCCCTACACGCTAAGGTCGTTGAGAAACCTAGTCATCAAAGAAAAGACACAGTCAAGATACTGACTTTTCTACGAGGACTCTCGGTATGTGGTCATAATTATCAGTTTATTATATTGGTGAAGAAGCATGTTGATTCAAACTCAATTAAATGAGCAAAACTATACTTTTCTGGACAATTGAGATCTGCCTAGATATGCATGTTTCGTTTTATTATTCTGCAATCCATTTTTAGTATTACCCGCTGGCCCGGCCCCGCCCGAATTTTCTGGGCCCGACTTTTAGGCAATCCCCGCAGTTTGTCATGACTAACCGACTCAGGCACAATATACTGACTCCGAGCTGACCAGTCCTTCTTTTAGTCCATTAATGCCAAGCGTAGGGTAATAACAAGTACCATCATTTAACATTCTTTGGTATGACGCGAGGATTAAACACCGGAGCTTAATGGCTCAAACAAGTCATGAAACACTTTACTGTTATGGTGTATAATAGAAAACACTCGGCCGCGTCGCCGTGTATAACAGAGGTATGGACAGACATACGACAAGCATAGTCGCCTCTGCTTTAGGCAGGCTGTAAACAGATGTTTATACATTAGTAAAGATAGAGTGTTGAATTATTTTGTTAAAATGAGATTGGAGATGGTGGAATGTAGTGTATATGCGGTAATGATAATAATTGAGATATGGCTTTATCATTGTGATTTTATACACGTGCTGAACGAACTGGTGCTGCTTGTGCTGGAGTACATGTATTGGGTGTGTATTGTTTCTGAATATACTTGTATAGTGAGAGGTACATGTACTGGTGCTATGCAGGGTATAAGGTAGACACGTATTTCATCAGTTAAAGATCAAAGCAGCCTCCTCCCGTCTAATCTAGCAAAACAGGTCGCACGATGTCACCTTGCGTCGAACCCGCTCCTTCGAAATCCTCGCTAAAACATATTCATAAAACGAGCAGTATTAGCCTCGTGAAATAGAACTGAATTAATTTCGTGTTATATCCAAACGACGGTTTCTTCTCAGGTTACACGGAGGGTCCCATGATTTATAATAGCATTGCCCTGGATGATTCCAACAGCTTCAAGGTAAAGTGACCAAAATATCTGAGTTGACAAAGAATAATGATTTCAATTTCTATTAGTAATTCTTATATATGCATTTATAATTCAGTATACATAAATACTTCAAAAGGATGTGTTGTCTTCTCATTAAAGGAAATAGACACTGTCATTATCATCGTGAACGAAAATATTTATATAGGTTCTAAAATATAACACACTTGTAATAAGATAGTTTTCCCGCGTAATTGTCCGGAAGTGACCTGCGTATCACAGAGGAGGAAGTCACCTTTCTAGGTTGGTGTGTTTGTGTCTCGTCTCTCACTTTGTCTTCCTATATACAGATAACTGTTCCAAATCCAGTGTCAAAACTTGCATGTATATGTCACGACACTATCAGGCTACTGTAGGTGTTACATATACCTCTATTTTTACAGTGTATATCTTCAATATCAGTGTTTGCTGATTGCTACCCATTCCTACTTTCGTTTTACAACGAGGCCGGGCTTCATTCAAACAAGTCATGACCCACTTTTGCTGTTATGGTGTATAATAGAAAACACTCGGCCGCGTCGCCGTGTGTAGCGACCAGAACTGAGATACGACCAGAACTGGGATAAACAGTCCACAATTTCGCAAAACCCCATTTACTGCGGTAATGCTTTTGGTTAGCTCTAAAACACATGGCGATATATATCCGGAATATGATTTAGTTTATATTTTTTGGGGGGGCCGTACTGAATATGATCTTTTGTATATTTCCATGTCCCATTCCAAATAAATAACGCACATTAAATTCTTCACTATAAATTGGAAACATCTTTAGTTGTTATTATTATTTTGTTATTTTGTACTTGACAAATATTCACACGCCTTTCTGTGCGGCAATTCACATTTATGCACAAATTTCACAGTGTCTGTGCGATATTTCTTTTAACAAATTATGTTATAATTAGATTAATAATTGAAATCAAGGATGTGTTTCTACATCACATTGTGGTCACAATAGTGTATAGAATGTAATGGAATCGGCCATATTACAAAAGTAAAAGCGGTAACTCGAGGGGTTTCTGAAATATTTCGGATTGTGGCCGTTAAATAAAAGAGCCCCGACACATTATGCATTCCATTTAGATTTTGTTTTGTTTGTAACTGTAAACAATTTTCCGTATTCTGTTGTTTGTGCGCCAATTTAACGTGCGGCCTCCTCCAATCCCACGATGTGGATAGAAATGCAAAACATGTATCCTCATTAATTTATTTAATGTAACTGTGCTGAAGGGAATCCTTGTAATTCACACATGAGTAGATGTGAGAAATCATATTTATATAATTTCAAAACAATTATTTCACTTGCCTCTGTATTTAGACAAGCTCTTCCCACTTCTTTTAATTAGTTCAATGGGTTAATCGTATATGGTTTGCCAGAAGATTGAGGCGAAAATTACACAAGATGAAAGTGTTTTATAATTCTTCTTTACAAAGTTACGGGGAAGTACACAGGTACATCGGACATAAAATATACATTACTCAGAATGAAACGCGGGGTGTTGTATATCAGTCATCATTATACATGAAAGTCGCGGGGGAGTATGTATATTGGATATAAACTATACATCACTCAGAACGATAGATAACGATAGAGGGTTTGTATCGGATGTATTATATTATACATACTTCAGAATGCTGTAGATGCAGACCAATGTAAGCTTTGAAACATGCTAAGAAGTATCTAAGCTGGATATTGACGATTGTTTCAGAATGGCTTTCTACCCACATATACAAGTTAGTGGTAACCTCAAATACCTCCTTAACTTAACCCTATCACATATACATGATGCAGGTAATGCAAGCTCAGAAGTTTGGTGTGCAAATTTATAATAAATGTATAAATATAAATGTATAACTAACATATATAAGCCGTAAGACGGATATGACTCCTCATCCATGCATGCATGCACCGGTAAACCAGACCTAACAGAAAGGAGTATATAGTTACTCCATAGTGTTTTAGGAACCAGGCAGCTTCAATTTGAAATAAAGGAAAGATATATTGAAGCAAGTCGAAATAATATATTTATATATCTAGCCTAAAATCACGAGGATCCATGGACAGTGCATTGTGTATGTCTATGTTGGGCATTGCTTAAAATATACCCACCGCTTCGCTTGTCACGTTAGGCGACAATCGATGGTTGGTTGGTTGGTTGTTTAACGCCGCACTGAGCAATATTCCAGCTATATGACGGCGGTCTGTAAATAATCGAGTCTGGACCAGACAACACGGACAATCCAGTGATAGACGTCATGAGCATCGATCCATGCATTTGGGATACGATGACATGCATCAACCAAGTCAGTGAGCCAGACCACCCGATCCCGTTAGTTGCCTTTTACGAGAAGCATAGTCGCCTTTTAGGGCAAGCATGGATTGCTGAAAAGACCTAGTCTACCCTGGGTCTTCACGGGCACCACAATCCATGGACCGGGTGGGCATGCTTGTATAGTGACTTCGTTAATTGTGTGTCATGTACCCCGATATAAATACATGTAGATAAACGATTGGTTTAAGTATGAATAACGTCCCACGCCGACATGTACGATGTCTGGCAATCAACCAAATAACGAACCTGACTACCCGAGGCTCGTTAGTCGCCTCTCATTTTACGATTCTAAGCCGGACTCCCCATCCGATCATGGGAATATTACCTGCATGGTCAGCTTTGCTGTTAATGGTTCTTGCAGTAAAATGTTGGTCCACATGGGCAGAGAGCAAAATAGTGATGGATATTATAAGCAAACATCCAGCACGTCGGAGGACGTTGAACCTCCGATCCATGAAGTCACCTGGTAAGACAATCAAAATTAAGCATGTGTTGCTGGGGACCCCTTCTACACGAAATCAACTGCGTGTGGTCTAGTGGATAGACGTCTGCAGAAGAAGTGAGTAAGTGGGTGAATATGTATTTACACTGCTTTTAGCAGCATTCCTGGAGTATCGTGGCACGGGACACCAGAAATAGGGTTTACTCATTGAACACATGATGGGAATCGAACCCGGGTCTTCGACGTGACGAGCGAACGCTTTGACCAATAGGCTAACCAATTGCACCCCTGACAGCGGAAGGTAAAATACACGGAATAAGATAGTACCCGTGCTTCGCGATTGGCATTACATGGATATACGTGGATAAACACAGTACATATTCTGTTTTACAAAACTCATGTAAGAATCCATGTATTACCTTCACCCTCACTGGGTAAATACAAGAATTTCTGAATTCTGACACTCCTTGGGTAACACACTTACTGGTATAATATTCCCTATAAAAGTACCAATCATGACCTCCCTCAATATTTGCTAAGTTTGTGGTCCTAATCACTTTCAAAAGCTAAAATTAATTATAAATATTCAACAGTTAATACTTTTTAAAGGTGTTATGCCGCTTCTGCACGGCTTAATTACAGTAATACAAGGGTAAATATCTAATCGTTAATTAATAAAAATCAGCTACAAGTATTCCATTATTTGTACATGTGAAAGGGCTATCCCATTTCTGGTCAAGGTGATATGAGTCATGATACAGTAAAAAATCCCTTAAAATTAGAAATACTGACCCATTACATAAAGATTCTGCTCACAAGTGTGAAATATTATTTACTATCATCAACCGACAAGAAATCTTAAGATTCCATTAATTGTAGATTTTAAAGGCATTATCCCACTTCTGGTCAAGGTGATATGAGTAAAAAAAATAGTCAAAAATCTCTTAAAGTTAGAAATATTGGCCTATTACATTAAGATTCAGTCCACAAGTGTGAAATATTATTTACTATCATCAACCGACAAGAAATCTTAAGATTCCATTAATTGTAGATTTTAAAGGCATTATCCCACTTCTGGTCAAGGTGATATGAGTCATAATATAGTCAAAAATCTCTTAAAATTAGAAATATTTACCCATTACATTAAGACCTTTGTTCATAGGATTGAAATATTATTTACTATCATCAACCGAC